AGCGGCGCAGTGGCGCGGGAAAGGCGAGCAGTAAATTCCCGCTGGGTAATTAAAATCAATAGCCATGACTCGCTTAGTAGCCAACAAGGTCAAACGCTGGAGAGGAACCGGGATAATGCCCAAACAGATAAATAAAAAAATTAAGTGAGGTGTCACGCTGTTTCATTAACCCTGCGTGGGGAGAGGTGTGTGAGCGTGTGTGTGTGTGTGTGTCTAATGTCTGCTTGGCAGGGTAGTCGGGGTGCACGGCAAACAGCCGCGGGTCCTGAAGCTAACCCCACTCAAAAGCAGGCCCTGAGCATGAGACTCACACATACAGTATACACATATACATACTCTCTATACACAAATACTGTATATGTGCATGTATATAAATGAAATATATTTGAAAATATGGATGTTGAAGATTTAGTTGTTTTAGGACCATTTTACCTTTGGTGTTCAAGAAACATTTCTAATTATTATCAATGTTAAATATTTTTGAGGAAACTGATTTAATTCTTCAGGGTTCTTTGATAATTAGAAAATTTAAAACAGCATTTAATATAGAATTGTTTTGTAAAATCTCTCGACGGTCACTTTTGATCAGCTTCCTTCTAATGTCCCTGTGGAATAAAAGTATTAATTTGTTTTAAAAAATTATATGTATGTATATGTTTTTTTTAAATTCAGTATATAGTCTCAGGCTTTTGCATATTTTTCTAATGTAATGGTATATGTTTATTGTTTATTTTATTTTTCATTGCAAATCATAACATCATCTTAAAAATGAATTAAGTTCATAATGTTTTAGTAAACTTTTGAACAGTAGTGTATATCTCATGGTGTTTATTGAACGCTTTTATTAAAAACAAATACTGATTTTCAAAATGACAGGAATAGTAACAGTAGATGCATTACGGTAATTAGAATAAGGGGATAAAATATGCCTAATTGCCTTAAAAAAAATAATAATCATGAAAAATATTTTAATGGTCCTAAATGTAGGCCTTGTTTTGATGCACAAAATTTATTTATTTATTTTCATTTTGGGGTTCCAGACTGCCTTTGTGAGATTTACATACAAATTTAGGTTTAGCTGTGTCTATTCAAATGAATCAATTACTGTATATCTAATAATTGTTTTTAAAAATGAATAATGGTTACGGTTTGTGTTTTTAAGTGACATTTGAACTTAACATTGTGTGTGTGAGTGGGATGGCTGTGTGTTAAGATGTAAGTAACAGACAGTGAAGGGTCATGAGTTTGTTTGTGATGTAGTATATTTGTCGCCAAGCCTGACATGCATTAGAGATCATGTAATGTGTCAGTGAGTGTGTGTTAGCACTAGAGTAGAGTTTGGACCAAGCAGGCACCTGTCCTGTGTGTTAACACTCTTTTGAGACCCGTAGAGATACCAGTCCTCAGTCCCAGAGGATTTCTCAGCTTGATCGTTCATTTGCTGTCTTTTCCTCCACAGAGAAAAGCTAATTCACTTTCATTTCGGCTCAGCGGTTCACTTTGTTCAGGTAGCAGAGGAGTCTGGGAATGAGTGTGTGTACATTCTGCGGTGTGTGTGTGGATGATGCTCTGTTATGTTGGCTTGCAATGTGTGTGGCTGTTTCATATCTGCATAGTTTTACATACGAAAGCTTTATTTCTCGTGGGGTTCCTAATGAACATCAGGGTGGAGCATGCTCTTTTAAACGGCCAATCACAATGCTGCACCCGAGGGGCTTGCTAATACAGGAAACAAGCTAAGCAATGCATATGTTGTATGTTGGTTGCTGTAAACTGCCTATCTTGACAGCATTTGGATCAGGCCTATGATTATTTAAAACAATACTTATGTCTTTCTAATACTTTTAATACTTTCTAATATAATGCAATGGTATTTTATTTTATTTAAATGAATAAATGAATGAAATGAGTATGTTTTGTAGTTTTAGATTGATGGTGATCAGTGTCATTAATATATTAAAATACTGATGTAGATTAATGCAGAATCAGAAATATTTCTTATTCATTTTATATCATAAATTTTCTTAATATTAAAATGTTTGAAATCCTAAAACTCTGCATAGTTTTACATACGAAAGCTTTATTTCTCGTGGGGTTCCTAATGAACATCAGGGTGGAGCATGCTCTTTTAAACGGCCAATCACAATGCTGCACCCGAGGGGCTTGCTAATACAGGAAACAAGCTAAGCAATGCATATGTTGTATGTTGGTTGCTGTAAACTGCCTATCTTGACAGCATTTGGATCAGGCCTATGATTATTTAAAACAATACTTATGTCTTTCTAATACTTTTAATACTTTCTAATATAATGCAATGGTATTTTATTTTATTTAAGTGAATAAATGAATGAAATGAGTATGTTTTGTAGTTTTAGATTGATGGTGATCAATGTCATTAATATATTAAAATACTGATGTAGATTAATGCAGAATCAGAAATATTTCTTATTCATATTATATATCTTAAATTTTCTTAATATTAAAATGTTTGAAATCCTAAAACTTATATTACCAGGTTTAAATAGGATTTTGAATCTCATATTTTCAAAATAGTCTCAGGCTTTTGCTTTTTTTTTTTTTTTCAAATATAATGCAACATTTTATTTTATTATTTTATTTATTTTATTTTACCTTATCTTATTTTATTTTTCATAGCAAATCATAAAATCCTATGCTTAGCTTATGAATGAATTAATTTCAGAATGTTTTAGTTGTTTGTCATATTTAATAATAAAACACAGATTAGCGTGTTTTAGTATTTTTAGCTTGATGGTGATCAATGCCATAAATTTGTTTATTTTAATATTAAAATAGTGACATAGATTCTGTGACATAGTGCAGAATAAGAAATATTTCATTTTACATCATAACTTTTCTTAATATTAAACTGTTTGACACCCTAAAACTTCTATTACCAGGATTTTGAATCTCATATTTTCAATATAGTCTCAGGCTTTTGTATGTTTTAGTGCAACATTTTATTTTATTTTATTTTATTTTTCATAATCATATATTATCATATATAATTATATTTTCATATTTTTCATAATCATAATATCAGTTAATAAATGAATTAATTTCAGAGTGTTTTAGTATTTTTAGCTTGATGGTGGTCAATGCCATACATTTGTTTATTTTAATTTTAAAATAGTAACATAGATTAGTGCAGAATTAGAAAAACAATGTCTTGATTTTCAAATGTTAGAAATCCTGAAAAGTATATTTTCAGGTTTAAACATGATTTAGAATCTCATATTTTCAACATAGTCTGAGACTTTTGGATCCCACTGTATATGTCTGTGTGTTTGTATGCATTTATGCATATGGGTCACTGAAGATAAGGGAACAGGTGTGTGTTTAGAACTTTTCAAGCGTTCAAACAAAGACACTAACCCAGTTCCATCAGTGTACAGTGTGTATGTGAGTTGTTTAGTAGAAAAGAATGAGATGGAAGGACTGGAGGCTGATTTTTGAGAGCTGTTTCCTCTCTCTTATCAGTATGGCCGTGTGGAAGCTTCTGTGCTGTTCACATAGATAGCATCTCCATCTGATCTCTCTCTCTCTCTTCCCTGTCCCACAGTCAGCCCAGCCCAGCCCAGCTCTGATCTTTCCTCTCTTTCTCATCTTCTCACTATCTCCCTCCCCCTTGTTATTCCCTCTAATGCCTTCCATCGTATGTTCTTTGCCTGTCCTTCACTGCTATTTGCTCTCTCTCTCTCTCTCTCTCTCTCTCTCTCTCTCGCTCTCTCTTTCTCTGCAGATGTGCAGATTTACTTTCAGCAGCACCACATAAAAGTGATTAACAGCACAGTATATCATTTTATATGCAAATAACATTGCTTTCATTGTTCAGGCTGCTCATTGTGCACTGCAGAAATTTTCATTGTTTACAATTTGTTGGTAGAGTTTGCCTTCATCTAGATGGGTTTTTAAAGGGAGAGAGAGAGAGAGAGAGAGAGAGAGAGAGAGAGGGAGCTGACTGAACAACAGTACTGTGAATGACTGTAGGGGATGTAGAGGATTGATCGGCCTGCAAATTTCCAGACTTTTATTATTTATGAATTTGTTTGTTTATTTATTTGTTTATACTATTTTCTTCACTTAATTTCATATAGTTGTCTCTTCTCACCTATCTCTTTTATTTTCATTTAATTTTAATTATTCCATTTTCTTTATTTCCTATCTATTTTATTATTCATTTTTATTTACTTTTCCTTTATTTTACTTTTATTACTTTATTATAAATATTTCATTTTATTTATACTCTTTTTTATACTCTCATTTTATCAGATCTTCTCTTCTCACTTCCTCTCTTATTTTATTTTGTTTTATTCACTTCTCAAGTCATTTCATCTAATCTTCTCTTCTCTTTTCACCTCTTTTTCTTTCCTATTAGTTTTCTTTAGATTTTTTGTTATTTGTTTTATTTTATTTATACCCTTCTTCATTTAATCACTTCATCTAGTCTTCTCTTCTCACCTTTTCTCTTCTTTTTTATTTTATTTTATTCTCATATCACCTCATCTCATCCTCTCTTCTCTTGTCACATCTTTTTATTATATTATAATTGTTTATTATATTGTAAGTAAATCAGACAGCAATTGTCTGTCACACCCAAAGAATCTTATTTACTGCCACTGATGACATGAAAAGCTATTTGAAACACATTAAACTTCTGTAATGTAAGATATTTCCCAGTGACAAGAACATTAGGCAGGAAATAATGTAGATTGGGGTTTTATTTGATCAATCAAGACTTGATTGAGTTGTGACCATGACGATATGGCTGATTAAAAATAATATTTTCCTCATCTATGCAGGCTTAGTTACATCAGCTGAAAAGTATCATTACAGAGAATGTTTTTACATTATAATTATTAAATATTATGAACGCAAACTTTTTATTTCTTCAGAACAAACTCTCACTAACCCATGAATGTTCACTGAGAAAGCAAACAAGGTGCATTCATTGTCATATTGTCTTTCTTTCTTTGTCACAGGCAAAGACTGCCAGCCAAGAATGTGTATTACTATCGCTGCCCGGACCATCGGAGGAACTACGTGATGTCTTTCGCCTTCTGTTTCGACCGCGAGGATGACGTTTATCAGTTTGCGTACTGCTACCCTTACACCTACTCCCGTCTGCAACATTACCTGGCCAGCCTGGAGCGCAGAAATCTCGATTACCTGCAGCGAGAGCAGCTGGGCCTCAGTGTGGTTAGTCACTACATGTTTGCACACAGCGTTACTGCACGTCTTTGTTGCGTTTCCGGTGTTTCTGTCAGTGTGTATTATGTTAACATCTTCCTGTGTCTGCTGTGCACTGCACACTCATTTTCTTTAAGGGGGCGGACACATGTAAGTGTCTTTGAGGATGCATGACTGTGTGTGTGTGTGTGTGCATGATCTGCACAGGTAACTGGATCATTCACATTGCCTACAGTCCCGTCTCGCTCTTATCAAATAATTGTTGAGGAAAACTCATTAGGAATGCTTGAGAGATTAAAGCCCTCTTTTAGGGCCTTCATCACTTTCACGTTCGTCAAGGAGAGCCAGTCACGGGAAGCCACTGATGAAAGGACATTTATTGATAAGAAATATGGTGTCAATGGAAAAAAAGAAATCAGTTTCACGTGAAATAGGATTTGAAAGGGCAAATATATCAGGGGGAAAATAAATGGCAAAACTATATGTTAAAGCCATGCAAGAACAGAAATACAGACTTGAGGGTGCATATGGTGCTGTTATTATTTTTTATTTTTTTTAAATCACCCGTTTCAGTTCATTCACTGCATAAACCCAGATCAGTTCTGTAACCATATATTCTCTCTTCAAAATTCTAACAACTTAAACATGTATGAATGTCATTGCATAAGATAACAAGGGTTATGTGTAATAAGATTTTTTTAATTATTTTGAAGTCTGTAATGTATTTGATCAAAAATACAGTACAAAACAATTATACTGTAAAATATTATTGCAACTTAAAATAACTGAATTAAATGTAATTACTATTGTGATGGCAAAGCTGCAACCATTACTCCAGTTCTTCAGTTTTGCATGGTCCTTAAACAAGACACGGGTCACAACGAGGCGTTCCCCATAGCGACCCCTAGAGGACGCAGTGTCTCGTTCCCATGAAAGGGAACATACTTGGTACTGCTGCTGCTGCATGATATAAGCAACTGGTGGCACTATTGTTTTTAATTGAAGTGTTACAGAAAAATCTGGATTTTTTATATATATTGGAGGCCTCTGAATTGGTTCATTTTGAGTAAGGGTCAGTGTTGCTATTGTTAACTAAAACTAAAACTTTTAAAAATAATTGTTATTAATTGAAACAAAGCTGAAATAAAATTAAATCTAAATACTAGATGAAAAACTTTAAAAAACCTAAATGAAAATGTTGTCTTGGCAGTTAAACAAAATAAAATAAGTTTAGTACTAAAATTACTAAAAATAAAACTGAAATAAAAATTTAACGCTAAATAGAAATAAAAAAAAAATTTAATGACAAAATTACATAAAATTACTAAAACTGAAAATGTAAAAATAAGCTAATTCAAAATATTGTTTAGTACTATTATATAAATAATACTAAAATAACAGGTGGAGGTTCTGAGTTTTGGTAAAGACAAAAAATACCTCATCTCAATACCTTTTGGGCCACTGTGCCTCCCTTGCCATTTCATTAGTATGTATAATCAGCCTTTTTATAATTCACATAGAAGATATAATGTCAGAAATAAAGCAAGAATGAAAGAATAGATACTGAATGAGTGAGAAAAAGTGAGGGAGGGACATTGTGACAGAGCAAGAGAGAGTGAGAGTGAATTTATTTGTATGCGCAGGCATAGGGACTTTTTATGGCCTTATTTGTCTTTTTATGTCCTCTGTTCTTGGGTATGTGGCAGTACAACACTCTTAATGACCTGCAGAGATGGAGGAGAGAGGGAGGGAATGAAGAAAAAGAGCAGGATGAGGCTACAACAGCTTGGACTGCAGTAGTAAAACACTCTCTGGTGTAACACACAGACGTGATGTACTTAAACAGAGGATCTGTGAGGAGGAAGTCCATGTGCGCACACACACACACCTACACACGTGCTATAGGTAAAGCACCAGAGAACAAGCCTGGATTCAGTGTAATACTGGGATTACTTCTCTCATATCTTTCACTTTCAATGAGGCAAGTAAATATGAAGAGCGTTCCGCAAAAAGAGTCCTCTAGTACATCTCAATTACCTCTTTTGCTCTGTTAATGCTTTGCCTCTCAGGGTCGAACTCGTTTCTTTTTAGAAGTCTGCTTGCTGGTGAGGTATATATGAGCACAAATGTTTTACGTTGGCATTTGTAATACAAAAACCAATCAGATGCCTCTCTATCCAGAGGTCTATGAAGATGAATCAAGCAATACAAGCAATCACTGTCCAAACGCCCCAAATACGCTCATACGGACTGTTTTCACGACTTTAAAATGCAGGCTCGCAACAACTGTCATGTTCAACAGCAATCGTCACATCTGTTTATCGTATCTTTAGTCATCAAAGTCCTCTAACAGCGTTATAAAGACAGAGAAGCATAGCGGGTTTTGACAATCGCTTTGATGGATGATCATGCAGCTTCTTCTACCATTCGCTGCTGCCCATTTCGAACGTCGAGTTCGCATCAGCAAATGGAGAATGAAGTTGTTTTGAAGGCTGCGCATCCAGATCCATTATCCGAGTGTGAAACGCTCGAGCCATCTGAATATTTAAAAGAGATCAAACTCAGATCTGCATTTATGGATGTGAATTATTTAGACGTGCGGTGAAACATATAGCACAAGCAGCATGGTCTTTGTAGATTAATATAAGTGTGTCGGAATAAATATTTAAGCATGTATAAATGTTTATTTTACATAAAAGCAGAAGGCCTCGGGGTCTTTGTTGATGCTCAGTTATCATGACTCAGATGACCTACCTGTCTAGACACAGCTCCCCCGGTTTCATCCTCTCCTCTCATGCAACCTTCAGTCATTTTCCTTTGGCCCAGAGCCCGTCAATCTCAACAGAGGCCCGTCACGTGACTCGAGCCCCGCTCCCTCACACAGGTGCCTTGTTGTGTTGAATTCTGAGTGCCTGCTCCTCTCCAGATGTGGAGACAGAGCAACAGTTGTGGATCTGACAGGCTAGCAAGAGCAGTTACTGCAACAAAGAGCAGAGACTCAAAGACAAGCAGACAGACAGAATCCAGCCTGAGGGCCTGACCAGCACTCTCTGCTTCACTTCACATCTCTCTCTGTCTCTCCCCATTGCCATTTACAACTATAGATATATTCAGGTTTACATGCATATAGTCATGCAGGCTTATAAAAATATCATTTTTTTTTTTAATTATGATTTCCTCGTTTTGCTGTACTGAAATTGAAATGCTATATTGCAATTTAGTATGTTCTGATGTTTTTTGTTTATTTTACCGTGAAATGTTGTAGCTCAAAATTGAATTTTGTAGAAAGTACAAGGAGAAAATGAAAGTCCTGTAGCACCCAGAAAATGAGGCTGTTATTTGAATGATTCACAGATAGAGACCAATTGTAAGGTAAATGTTCCCTCATTATTAGTGTAATTGTTTTTCATCTGTGTAAATTTAGAGCTTCTATAATGCAAAAGGCCAAATGTTCTGAATACCGTCCAGACAGTAAACAAGTCATTTATTTGCTAATTTAAATTTTTTTTTAATTTTGGAGATTCCTTGAATCAGTTTTATTAAATATTGAAACTAAATAATTATTAGGGGTTTTTTTTAGCTATAAAAATGAGTTCGTATAGACCAATTCGGTGTTTGCAAACAGTGATGACTTTTTTTGTGGGCGGAGCCTATCTGGTGGCAGAAAATGAGAGTTTTCAAGTAGCAGTCTATGGACGGCATGGAATAAAAGAATTAAAAAATGTAAATTTGATTTTATATTTCAAAAGTCTGACTTTATTCTCACAATTAGGAGATTATATCTCACAATTCTGATAAGGAAAACAACTCTGGCTTTTTTTCCCTCAGAGTTGACAAACTCACTATTGTTGAGTTAAATCGAGTTATAAAGTCCGAACTAGGAGATATAAACTTGCATTTGCAAAAATAAAAAAAAGTCAGAATTGTGAGATAAAATATATAAATGTTACGTAAAATGTTAATAGTATAAAATTTAAATAATATTTCATGCTGTAACTGTAGGGCTAATACAATATGTCCCCTATGAACTGCATGTGTGAATATTATTGTTTAAATCAAATTTATGCTTTAAAAGTAGAGTAATCATAGCAGTTTTCATTTAGCTTCGAATGGCGTCTTTGAGGACAGTATTCTATAAAAATTATTTGCATTCCGATTCTGACATCAAAAGGCACAAAAATATATTTTTTTCTCTTCTTCCATGAATTTTACCTGTTTCACTCCACTTGTTACCAGTTTTTCTGCCACCACTATGCACGCGCAGCTGCAAGTGATGTAACTGTGATGTCTACTCCAAATTGGTCTATAAGCACCAACATTTAGGGAGAATGATGTTTATCATAGCAGACCCATTTCTAATGGTGCATGCTATAAATGTTTAAAAGCTTTAGGTAGGCCACAAGTTTGTACTTGATTCATTTGTCATGTCTAGAGAGTAGCCAGAGCCTTCAAAAACTTGCTTTTAATTTGTTCTGCGGTGTTTTTTCTTCATGTCCATTGCTGTAAGTGACGTACATTTAAAACAGGCCTTGAGTCTTTTATGACCAGACTTTCAGAACTATTCTGCGAGTTTATGCTCACTCTCTGTCTGTCTGTTTTATGGCACATAAAGTTTCCATAGGGAAGAGCCTTGAGTCAGGTTGGTGCAGAGTGACTGCGGTTACTGGTTGTTTAGCGGTAGTGTTTCATCCAATACGGTCAGTTCACTGCACCTTTCATGTCTCTAAAAGAGAGAACATGGATGAGATCAGTGGTGTCATTCTAAACAGTGTCATATTCACTTTGATAAGATGACATTGATTAAATTTTAAACATTCTATTAACAGAATGTGCATATAAACTGTGTTGTGCAATGTCTAGCTGTAGTATTCAATTTTAACACATCTAACAGTAAAGCAATAAAAAAGGAGAGGCTTGTCCATGAGGAGTTGTTTCTTGAAAGGATGATGATGCTGTTATGATAAAGTTGTTTTGATTTACAGGTTGATTTGAAAAATCTGATTTGTAGA